TGAAGTCGCAGAGATGTCAGAGATGTATTCGTTCAGCTATTTGCTTTCGGTCTCTTGGAATTGGATTTCTTTGCTTAAGACTTTTTCTCTCGGCGGAAAGTCATCGAGTTAGCTTTTCATCACTCGCCGTTTTAGCTGTTGAATTTCTGTTTTTCTCCTCACAATATTAGTTGTAAATTCACTGCCTTGTCTCTAGTCATAAGAAGCTTGAAGTTGTTGATTGAATTCCGTGGTACGTTTTCACAAGTATTTCCTGATTGGACGAAACGCTTTTCGCACGTGTGAGAAATTCGTTTCGCTCCTATGATTGGCTAGTTAATATTTTGAAACGGATTTTCAAMTAGAAATATATGTGAGAAAATCTCAGTATGTATATAATAAAATAAAATAATGGCAAACATGTCATAAACGATAAGTTGATTGATCATACATCGCTCTTCTACGAAAAACAGTTGCAAAAATAACAAATGTGTGGTCTATGATTTCTTAAAATTGTTAATGGTCTTCACTCACTAACACTTTYGGCCGGAACACAGAGCTGTGCGTGGTCAAAGCGAGTGCATTCAATTGGAAGGTTCGTAGAATGACGTCATTATATGTCACAAAAGGCTTGGAATTGTTTTGCAAAAGTAATTTATCGCTGCATCCATAGAAAGTGATGCAAGCATTCTCACTKCTAAAAACCGCTTCCATTTCAAATTCACAAAATTCACCGAAATTATTGRTCCACTGGCTAAATCTGAAATCAAAAGGGATCACAAGTAGTGTTAAACGTCTTATAAAACTTTTATTATTACTTTCTAAATTGGATCTATTTCATGACTTGAGATTAATAATGATATTGTCTGATAGAAAAAGGCATACATTGTCAGTTCAGCGGTCAACATACTTCACAATTGCGCTAAAGCAACGGAAAATCGTCAAGTATTCCGTGACATCAGGGCAGTGGAAACTCTGGTGCCATTTCTGGAGTCTGATCACTCAGAAACGGTTGTATCGGCATTGTTGACATTGTCGTACATTACAGATGACAGCCAGAAAGGTCTTCTCGAAACTGATACAAAGGTAACGTAATAATAAGATGATAACCGAAAAAAAGTTGCACTGTAATGTAATGTAATTTTATTTTTTTCTGTTATTCAGACAATTTCCATCTTGCGAGGAATGCTTTCGTTAGCAGCAAACAGTCCAAATCTTCGTGGAACAGCCTCAGGCTCTACTTGGTCTGCACTTGAAATCGTGACAGGAATTGCAAACATAGCTGTAAACCAATCAAACTGCGAAAAACTCATCGAGGATGATGTCATCCCATTACTGTTTGTCGTCAYCGAGAAAGGCGGGKCGATCGAGAAAGAAAGTGCAGCAAATGCATTGTGGGTCATTTCAAATTCTCAAAATGGAAAACAAAAGATACGAGGACATCCTGGAGCTGTTGACGCATTGAAGAAGCTGAGTAAACACTCCAATAAAAATATTGCAGTCTCGGCAGAACGAGTGTTGTTGAGAATTACACAGCCCTTACAGCAAGGTAAGTCGTGTATGATGTTATACAGTATCAAGCTGTATTATGCAGTTACTTCAGTTACAAAATCTAATAAATTTCATTGTCTTTTCCAAAACAATGACTCCAAAGTGCAGCCAAGCAATAAGGCAATAATGGTGCTAAAAAAATAATTAGAGTAATCAAAATGAATCTTTTGTAAGTTTATCGCCCGAATCATTTCAATCGCCCAAAAAGGCGTTTTTACATTCTTGTCAAATCCCTTGTAACCTGGTTCCAGAGGCTTTTATTCTTTTGCTTACTATGTTGTCGAGCCGTAGTTTTCATGCTGTATTTTAGTGAACCAATCACAGATTGGAATATTGTGATCTGTTATCTATGATGAGCTCTTATTGGTTCGATTATTTGACGTATTTGACAGCTAAAATACAGCATGAAAGTGAGATTGCCTACGCTTGATACCAGAGGCTTGGCGTACAAACAAACCGCTTAATGGAAACGTCTCGCCGCTCGACAACATAGTAAGAAAAGAATAAAAGTCAAGCCTCTGGAACCAGGGTAAATCCCTTGTGGAAACTGGAAAAGTTCCAGAACGTATTTGGGACGATTTGTACGACTATATGGACAATAGGGCTTCCGTTGCCCTTCTCTGCACCCCCTAGAGCCACTAATGATTACATTCTGCGTACAGGCATGCCGCGACCATCAGCTCCAAGGAAAAACTGCGAATACATGCAATCCTGCAGGGCCTTTTTAGCATCACTAAAACTAAGCGGTGAGTATGCAAGTAATAACTCCACCGAATCAAAATATTTCTAATMAACCGCTTTTTGGTCCTATGCTGCCACGCCTTTGAGCGAACTTCGCTTCTACTGTTCAGTGGTACTCCAACTCTTTCATGGTATATACTGACAATGGTACTCTAACCTTATAGGGTTCTTTCATGGTATATACTGACAATGGTACTCTAACCTTATAGGGTTCTTTCATGGTATATACTGACAATGGTAC